GTAGACCCTTCCTACCCTCCAGCAGATCAACCCTCCCGCCCAACTTGGTGTCATCAGCAAACTTACTGAGGGTGCATTCGGTCCCCTCGTCCAGATCATTGATACAGATATTAAACAGAACTGGCCCCAGTACTGAGCCCTGGGGAACACCACTTGTGACCGGCTGCCAACCGGATTTACCTCAGTTCACCACCACTCTGGGCTTGACCATCCAGCCAGTTTTTTACCCAGCCACGAGTCCACCTGCCCAGGCCACGAGCAGCCAGTTTCTCCAGGAGAATGCTGTGGGAAACGGTGTCAAAGGCTTTACTAAAGTCCAGGTAAACAATGCCCACAGCCTTCCCCTCTGAAGTTGACGAGGTTTTAAGAAAGTGCTAAAGGGCCAAGTTATAAAAGAATGTAAAAAGTAAAATGGGAAGAAAAACAATCGTTAAGAGTAGACTGTTGCATGTGTTTTGTATGTCAGGGTAACTTTGAATTGGGCCCAAATTTGAACCAGGAACTTGATGTACTGAAGGATCAGACTGCATGTATGAAAGCAAGCAAAGGTTTCTAGTCATTCTGAAATCTGCACAGCTGGAACTTGAGCAACAAGAGAAAGAATTTTTGTTCCTTATGTTTTTATACAGAAACATATTTGGGTTTGTTACCCAAATAAACCTTTTGGGGAACAAAATAAATGACAGAAAAGCACCATTTTAAAATAATGGCATGTAAAGGTCTTCTTAGCACTCTCAATTGCATTTTTCCGTCCCACGTTTAAGGCAACTCACTTATCTATGTTGCCTGCATTTGAGAGGCAGCCACATGTTGACGTATATGGAGAATTCTTTAGAAATAACGCTATAGGTAAATAATTAACTTACTTATTTATAGTCAAGGCACCATTATAATGAATATGCCTTGATTGCACAGTTAACTGTATCCCTTATGCACTAGTCAAAAGTTAAATAGTCGCCTATATAAATAACTTACAGCAACAAAAGCATCAATATGTAATATGCTCAGCTACAATTCTCAAGCACTTAAAATAAGCTTATTGCAACTGAAAAAAAGAAGTTCTGTTTTCCCTAGAACTGAACAAAATTTCTATTTTCCCCAGAACATACAACGCACAGCTGATGGCTCTATCCCACTTTTTCTGTAAACTTAGTGTAACTCTGAAAGCAAAACTCACAAGCACCATCACACCTCAAAATTACTTTATAACTACAAGAAAATGGTAGTTAAATTGTATGAGGAATTTTATGCTATTTATCCTTACTTTGGGGGCAAAATTTCTTATTCTGCTCAGAGAATTACAAAGAACATATTGTCTCCTCTGCGTAGGCTTTGCATAGGTTTCTCATACTCAAAAGCTTGCAATGATATTGGTTAATTGCCAGATTTAAGCCACCTCTCTAACCTCTCCCTTTCAGTGGGTGTGAAAGGGTTTACTTGTAATATATATTGCTACTGACTGAATTTTATCTTGTTCTCCTGGATTCTCAGCAGCAATTCCCAAGTTAGAGGCTTCCCCAGAAAGCACGTCAAAGGATTCCCACCCACACACTGAATATCTAACAGGCCCTGACCCATTTTCTGCTTATTAAAGCAGCACTACATACTTAAAAAAATAAAAATAATAAACAGAGAAGCTAAATGAATGCAAGAATTGCAGCTGGAACTCTACCCTCTTCAGATTTTAGTTCTGACAAAATCATTACCAAGAAGTAGAGACACATTTAAAATACAAACATCAAAATGTATTTTTCCACAGTGTTCTCATTCAGCTGTCCTTCAGCTAAGTTCAAGGAGGACTTCATTTATTAGTTCTGAATATAGAAAAATCCCATGATTTAGCCATACCTATTCTCCTCTTCCAACTATATCTTTGGGCATATTTCTGCAGCTTGAGCTTTAATAATCTTGTAACTTAGTGACTTAAGATATAGGATGCTGAAAAAATGAAGCCTCAGTAAGTAACAGTAAGGAACTGTATGATTTTACTAAGATTATTAATGTTACCTAACCAGAATAAGCAATAGCAATTAACACTGAATATTTAGCATTGAAGTTTTTTATGGTAGGATGGACTACTGCAAGTACTACTGCAAGACTCAAGATCCATCATGGAGTTGATATGCTGGAATTTTTTAATATCCCCGATCAAACAGGTACAATATTCTGTTTTCAGTAGAAACAAAATGGTAACAGAAAATTCGGTTGATGTATGACTTCCAATTTGTCCATTGCATTCACAATTTCTGACATAGTGGGAATCAGATTTTACTGGTTACGGTTGCATAACAGCCCTTTCCCCCACCTTGTGCCATCACCTCCAAAGGAAGTGAAGCACTTCAGCAAGTCAGATAGCCTCTCCAAAACCAGCAGTGTTAAAGAGAAGGGATGAAACCCCCCCCCCTAAAACAGAACAACAATGGAGAAGTTTATACTTCTGTGCTGCAGTTCTTCAGTCTGTTACATCTGCGGCTGTGCTTTGTAGAAAAGGGACAGCCCTACATTTCTCTCAGCTTGCAATTGCATGCTGCCATTGCCATTTTTAAGACAGCACAACTATTTCTGTGGCTCCCTGGTGAACCAGGAACTATTTTACCCAAGAGTAGACCTGACCAGATAAAGATGCCAACTGGATGAATTCTCCGAGCTTTTGATGCCAACATAGATTTGAATCAAACTGATAAAATTATGATAAAAGACTTATTTCTAATACAGTGCAGAAAATAGACACTAAAGCCCCATAATATTACATCAACTATCTTTTAATGAATACTGAAGGAAAAAATTCCATTTATGAAAGCTCCATATCTCATAAGTAAATCCTTTATACTTACAACTGAATTGTAAGCAAACCCTAGCTTTACCTGTCATTTATAAATTACATACCTCCTCCTTCCCCTTTTTAATTTAGCAACGCTTTGTGCAACTGACTTCCCAGGGAAAGATTAATAATGAGCACATATAGCGTATATGAACATTCTTTTACCTTAATTTTCAACATAAACTATTATGAGAGAAGATATATTTACCTTCTGAAAAAGGACCCACCAGATCTTTCCAACAGGAAAGACATGAGATGAGGGAAAACACCAAAACAAATAAGAATACCACTCTGTATCTTACAATATATATTCAAGTGGCATGCAGTCATCTTTCAGTGATTAAGACTTTTCACTAACAACTTAACACTATGTTATTTAAGAATCCACTTCACTCTAATGATAACTTGCGTCTGTAAAGGTAGATGACACCATATCTGGAGTCCAAGTAACCAAGTTTATATGATTTTACTAACAGAAATAGGAACTAGGAGACCTTCTTTGTTTATAAAGCCATAGTAAGTTACATTGACTGTAATACTATATTGATTAAAGCTCATCTTTTCACAAACATAAGCAAGGAGAGAATTAAGAATGTCAATCATTGGCAGAACAACACCCAACACTTGCAAAATCTCTTCAGCTATCTGGAAAATAAACTTCCTTCACAGCCAGGTTTGCATAGGATACTTTTGGATAAACATATATTGAGTCAGAGGGCCGCTCATCATTGTCTTATGTTGTGTGAATGTTTCTGAAAACTTTTATTAGGTGTAAGATTAGCTTTAATTTGGTCTACATATATTTTTTTTTTCTATGACACAAAACCAGAAGACTACAACTCCCAGGACATCTGGTAGAATGAGTTTGCAAGCTTAGTTTCAAAGAAAATGAACTTTCCTTGCCAATATTCTTCACACTATTCTGTCAAAAAGAGCATTCTCTGGAGAAATAACAGTTGAGAGGAATTCCACAAATTTTTAATTATACGCTGCATGTCACTTCAGCCCACAAATAACTGAAAGTTTAGAGAAATATATTTAAGTGGTATTACAGAGTAGGATGACTAGGAACTGTCACATGCTTTCTCGTCACATGCTTGCATTTTTCCCACTGGGCCTCTGACAATGGCGCTTGAATAGAGGAATGCACAGTCTAGCCTTTCTTTCAGAAAAGGTGAGGAATACCTTCTGCATTGCTTGAATAGTACTGCCATCTTAGAATTCCTTTTTATGTAGGGAAACATGACTGAACAACCAGGCGTTTATCCACCTCTTCCAGTTTTCTTCTTATTGGAAAATTTGCTTTTCCTCATGCAAAAGCTCTTTTGAAATAAATACTCTAATGTCTTCAATCCAACAGTAAGCGTCCTCTCCTTCCTACTTTCCCTAAATTTCCTAAGTATTAATTATTTCATATTACTTAATTTTGTGTCTACATATTTTTACTTCTTGGTCAAATTTAAACAGTAGCACTTTCTGAAAAGCTCATGTTCAACTCTACATAGTCCACACTTGTACTCATGCTCTGACTGGGCTGTTTCTTGAATAAAGGAACAAGAACTTTGTATAACTAAAAAAAACCATAAAAATTTGCATTTAGCAATTGTTCATTTAGCAAATTCAGCACTCTATTTAAAAAGAAAATTGGAGCATGAGCTTTACACAGAAACACTAGCTTATTAAATTGTTTAGTAGTTTCTGAAGCCAGTGGCAAAATATTTAGCAAACCGAATACGAAATTACAATTATTTTTTAAATTAAAATATTCATAAGCCATATTTAAATTACCTCATTATTTAAAGTGTATTATTCCATCCTTTTTTGTGAAACATTTACCACAATGTGTGCTTTTGTACAACTCTGCCACCAGAATCATCTCAAGGCAAGCAGAGCACATGAATCTTTTTTAAATACAAAATTGGCTACTTGATGCATACTCAAAATTAACAGAGCATAGAATACACGTTTAAGTCAAAAAAATATAAGAACTTGCATGCAAATACTCATAAATTGAATTGGATTGGATCTCCTAAATAACAGGGTACATACAGCATATAATGCTATTCTACAATAAGCCATAAAAACCATGTATTAAAACTATAAAAATATATTAAATTGTGCATATAATACCACAGTATCAACCTTATCCCTATCATATTTAAGACAGAAGACAACTTACGGGTATGATTCTGAAAGCTGCTGAGCTATTTTATAAGCTGTGGGGTCCCTGTCTAGTGCATATATTGTAATGTCGCTGGCTTTCTCTAGAAGAGCTGTAGTATGACCTCCGGCTCCAAACGTCATATCAAGGAAACGCTGTTGAGTGAAAAAGACAATACCTTTACTTTAGAACAGTGATAAACCAATTGTTGATTTAAAGCTTCCTTTGCTAATGTCTCTCATATGCTGGAGGAAAACATACCATTCAATATAGTCACAATGCCTTTTTGGAAATATTTTCATATTTTGTGCAGAGTTGCAATCATGTCAGCATAATCTTTTCAGGGGTTGTGATCTCCCCCCAGCAATCCTTCCAGAATAAAAGAACAATCATTTGGTACAACCAACTGCAGCTTCATACTCTTCCCATTTCTTTACATTCTGAGTTTAGAGAATAGCCACTTGTTTGACTGCTTTGTTTGGACTTGCTCAATTTGATGGATACAATGACATATAGGACATGGGACTATAGGAAGTAATCAGCACCATCTGCTTTGTAAGAATGTGTCTAAAAGGCAGGCTGATGTATGGTATATCAATTTAAAAAATGACACTATCATAGTTTTATACCACAGATCAAAGTATGATGGCAGCACAGGCACATATATATCCTGGCTGGGACTAACCTAACTAGCACTGAAAATGTGCACAGTACCACTGATTTTGAGTTCACTGTGCAAGGACAAAGCTATCTATTTAGGTTACTAAGATACACTGAAGCCCAATTATCTTGTATCTTCTCTACCATCATTACATGTGTTAATTAGATGCACAATAACATAGGAATACCCACCTTAACAGCAATCCCACGTCAATTGCTGATGTGACATACTCTATGGGCTTGAGTTACCCCTCTTGATAAACAATATATATTTCCTCGCTTCTGAGGAACACTTACTGCCCATGAACATATACCATGTCTGGTTTTTTGGATACACAAACTAAGACTGGAAGATTTTTAGTAATACCAGGCAGAGACAGCCATCCTTCTCCAGTCTTCGGGACTAAAACTGACTACACATTCAAGGAACTTTGAATGCACTCCAACTAAAACATACATAGGTACAGATTCCGCACAAGTTGAGTAAAACTGGCCATTGAAATACCTATAAGCAGGTCTCAGAACTCGAAGTACCTGAAAATATTTTGAAATTTCACATTCCTACCATCAAAAATGTCACAAAAAAAACCAAAAAAGGGGTTCTATCTCATATCTGAGAATGGTGATGAGGTCATCAAATTTCACACAAAGAAAAGATGACTTCAAAAGGCTAGTTAACTCCCAGCCACATCACAGAGGAGAACACCTGGAGCAAATGGTTTGCCTGCAAAGAAGGGAGACTGAGCAACTGGGGTGCAGCAGATCCCAACAGGAGAAAGGAAGGCAGCGGCAGAAGGGCAGCTGAGATAAGACTCTGGAAAGGTGAACACTGCTCTCCTGACAGCTCTGCAGTTTCTGTAGGCTCATTCTAGAGAGGTTTCTGTAGTCAGAGTCCATTTGACCAACAGGCTGACCAAGACGCTTTGCTCCGGAGACTTTCCTAAGAAACAATGACTTGGGACGCAGTCAGCCACCTTGAACCATACAAAAGTTCTTAAAAATAAACCAAAAATTAATACTAGCAGTGCAAAGGAGAGAAGCAGCGAAAGGATAAGGATCATCGTAACAGGACGTAGTGACAACCTCTCAACCTTGTGACAGCATCTAAAAGCTTTAGTTCAGAACTCACGCAAGCATTCACTGTGGAATAAACGCATGCTCACCAAATTATATTGCCCTTTCTAAAAGAACCAACACAAACCAACCAAACCTTTAAGCAACAGCAGACAACTGTAACATGATCATTGGGAGCACTACATAAAAGAGGATAAAGCTCTGATTCAAGCGTAAGTGACTGCAGGACTGAATACGCTGCTGGATAAAATATTGCACCACCAGCATTAATGGAATAGGCTAAAGCATTTCTGGAATCCTAGCAAACCTAATTAAGGCTACATTAAGTACATTTTGGCATAACTTTTTAAGGTAAATAAAGACCTGCCATGGAAAATCTTTGAAAGCCACAGATACATATGCCTAAACTAGCAAGCAGGAACTCATACAGATACCTCATAATCTATCTGTTCCACTCAAAAGCGACACTGTGCATCTAGAACCTAAAAAACATAATTATCACCTTAAGTTATCAAATAAAATAATTTTATTAACAGAACCATTTTGGAGCATTGATTAGATTTGAAATTAATCACTATACCACACTGCTTCATATGCTTTTTATATAGTCCATTCATCTTTCATGCCTGAAATTCAAGAAAGATGCTTCATTTTTTCTTCCTCTTTCTCTCTCGCCTAGTAGTTTTTAATCAAATAAAATTAAATGACACTTTATCCTCCTGGTCCTATAAATACCGGAAAAGATTATTACATGAATTCCTCCTGCAGTGACTCACCGTTCCATTGTTAAGTTATGATAGCCCCATCAGAGCTCCCCTCGGGAATTTTATAATCAGTTTGTGACTGTACGTTTTAAGAACCATTTGGCTCTTTCATGACATACAGATAGTAACAACAAAAAAAACTTTATAGCCTTCATTTTACAACTAGCTTTAAGGTAGTTATAGAGATACAAAGAGTTCAACTTCCTCATTTTTGTACACGAGACTTTTCACTGACAAGCTATCTCCTAATAAATACCTTTTAAGCACTTCATTTTACTATGACTGAAGTAATCTGTAATTCCTCTTACGATTATGTTCCACTTCTAATAAAGTTTACCCCACAATACCCGATAGCCTTTGCAATTATTTTTCCTTTACTATGTAACAAAATGAGATTGAAGAACTTAGGCAAAACTGACACTCCGACCTGACATACATAAATTGAAACTACATGAGACTTATTTTAAAAATCTGTAAAATACAAGTTTTCTCACTAGTTTCAGTAGTTTCTTGTCTCTGCTTGCTTTCTCTGTTAAAGGCGAGAACTTTGCGTGTTCTTAATTTGATCTTTTAGATATAGGACTTCATTGTCCACTGCTAACCTTAATTCTTTCAAGCACTTCATGGCAATCAGCTGATCTCTCGCATGATGTTTTTTTTCTCTCTCTTGCAGCCCTGACATAGTCTCAAAGAAGACTTTGACAAATTGTACAAAATATCCAAGACATACTGAGATGGAATATAGTACATGGAGTACTATGCCAAACAGTTTTCTATCCTGGGTATCAGCACTTCATGAGCAGTCTCTCTTTTCCATCGTTGACCATATGACAGACTTCCTCTGTTTACCTTTTGATCTAGACAACCTGGGTCTCACTTGTTCACACTTACATTATACCAAAAGATCCTTATTATGCTATGATTAACTAGTACACATAAGGCATTCTCCATAGCTCTTTCCAACAGATAACATGAATTTCTTCTAAAAACGGAGAACGTGTTATTCCCCTCAACAACTCCTTGCACGGCGTAATTATTTTTTCTTCAACCCCCAGCCCTGTTTATCCACTTTTTTCTATTAAAAAAAGTCTATATTGCTAATGACCAACCTCTCTGCCTTCAGCAAGTGTTATCACCTGAACCATCTTGACCCCAAATTCACTGACAAAAATAAATAAATAAATAATCAATCTCAAATCAACCTTGCTGGAAAAATGCAGTTCCTTCCTCCAGCCCTCTGTTTCACGCTTCCTCCAAAGACTTAACACGCACTCACAGGAGGGACAGCCATACAATTATTCCCCTCTGATGCTCCTGTATCATATTGTTGGCATTTTTCCCTTCTTGTCTAAAGAAATTTTTCTTTAAGTGGCAGTCATTCAAGTATAGCAGGATAATGTACTGAGCGGAACGTTTTGCAGTACCCTTCAGAGTACATTTGTTGGAGTATCCTCCTCACAAATTAAATGCTCATAAGACCCATTAAACACAGCATGAGCGAAACACTTAGAAGGTAATGAAGACAGCTATCATGTCAGTCAAACAGAATGGTAGGCCAGTCATAGAAAGACAAACTGATACTACATATATTACAATGCATGACCTTTATACAAGGTAGAAACAACTCAACTTCGCCATTTGCAATGTATGTAACAAAAATGGGTCAGATGTAGTTTTAAGAGGAAAATGTTACTCACTAGTAAGCCAAAAGGGAAAAGAATCCTACTTAATCAGTCACTTCTTTTAGCTATTAGGAAGGACATACTTCCTGATGTGCAAAAAAAAGCAAGCCAAAAGTAGCGCTGTTTTCACAATACAAAACAATGTGAAAGCAAAGTTTAAAATATGAGAAGAAAAACTAACTTGGAAAACTACACACTTCAACAGTACTGTATCGATGTTATATATTAATATATTATTTTAACAGTGATACATGCCTGACGGATGACTTTCCATCCAAAACTGGGCTTCACAAATGATAAACTAGAATCACAGAACTTTCCCGTGGGAGGTAGAGAAAGGAAGTATATCCACAATACATGCTGCCACAGCTGAGAAAACACCCCCAGTTGCAACAGTCCCTCACCCTCCATGTCCCATCTTCCAGAAGAAAAATCAGGAGTTAGAAAGAATAACAATTACAAAACTTGTATCATTTCAGTGCTTGCATAAGATATTTGTTTTGAAAGTAAATGGCACTCCTTCCGCTTTTTACAGGCTTGAAACAAGAAATACCAGAATACTGATTTAATTGAAAGAAACTTTGCAAAGAAAAAGGAAAGAACAACTATCCAGCATCCAAACTATGCTGCCTAACGTTTCAGCTTATTAGAAGAAAATGCCTCGTATCTACTGCTTGAAAAAAGAAAAATAAAATGGAGAAAAAGACTCTTTCATGCAATTGAGACATCAAATGTCAAAATAAGAATAATTTTTCTTGACATATCATTATACTGGATATTCTAACAAAAATAAGTTCTACGATACCAAAGCCACTACCCACTAGTGTATTCCAAGCCAATGATGATTAGGTCACAGCACTTCTCTTTGCTTTCACTGATCTCTCTTAGTGGGATGACAAGCTAACATTTGTCACAATAATACAGTTACCATATTTGAAAGGAGTTCTGATGTTTTCTTGCAAATGCAAAGAAGGT